AAGATTCTATCTCCTGCTCTGTAAATTGAACTTTAATCACACACAGGAATGCAGGGCCTAGCAAACTATTAGCAGGAGATGAGAAATCCTAAATTAAATAGACTGTAATAAAGGAAGTTTAAACATTAGATCTCTCTTTACAGGAAGTGTTTAGGATGGCTGTGCAAGTCACATATGCACTTTAATATAAGATTTTTAAAAGCTGTATATTTATGACATCATTATTCCATCATTGGTTAATAAAAAAATACTCCATTAAAATAAACAATAATAACAATGCAGTCCATATACCACCAGTGAAAATATGCATGCAGTTTATTTTGCATGTTTTCTTTGGGGGCATATGAAACCTTGGTTTGCAATAGCTGTATGTCTACTGAGAAGTCTGTTGCTTTCCAATCAGATCTGTATTACATTTAATTTAGAAGTCTTTGGTAGTAATGTGCTCTGGCCAACTGCCTTCTCCTTGAATTAAACAACATGGAGCGAAACTACCAAGAAGTAATAAGGTATAACAAGGTGTCAGGGCCGGCACGACCATAAGGCAGCCCAGGCGGCCGCCTTAGGGCCCCCGAGCAGGGGGGTTGCAAAAATCCGTATCCCCAGCCATCGGCTAGGGATTCGGATTTTTATAATGCCGCAGCCTACCTTGCCCTTGCCCTGCTGTCTTCTCCTGACTCCTTCTCTTACTGACGGAGGTGAAGTCTCTGCTGTGCTGTGCCGCCCACTCCTGATGATGTCAGGAGGAAGGCGTGACTTACACCTCCCCTAGAGTCCCCTGCGGTCCACTGTCCGATGCATGTAGTGTCAGGCTTCCTCTTCTGGCTCCAATATGGCGGCGCCCATGTACAGTGGGGACCTCACAATCACATGGTCGGGATAGCTGCCTGCTGTATTGCCTGCAGGGGGGCTACCTGTAATGAAAATAAAATAAAAAAGTTAAATAAGTGTGTGTGTGTGTATGTATGTATGTATGTATGTATGTATGTGTGTGTGTGTATATATATATATATATATATACACACACATACACTGTGTAGGTGTATTTTACTATTAATATATATATATAATATAATATTTATATATATTATCAAATTACACGTAGACTGATACTGATTAAATATATATAATTATTGTTATATATATATATATATTTATATATAATATAAAAAAATTAAATATGTAAATACGTTAAAAAATAATTAAAAAAAGTAAAAAAATATAGATGTGTGTTATTTCGTTCTAACTGTATTGTGATATTAATATATATATATATATATATATCAAAATACACGTAGAACGAAATAATATATATATAAATATATACGTATATATCACTATATATATATACCTATATATAAATAAAAATATTAAAAAAAGATATATATATATACATATATACATATATATTCACATACGTATGTGTGTGTGTGTATGTATATATGTATGTGTATATATATATATATATATATATATATATATATATATTAATTCTACATATATATTTATGTAATATTTTTACATAATTAGGTATCTTAATTAATTACAATTAGCGGGACCTGCCTGACAACCCATGCCGAGAGTAAAGGGAATTTAATTTGCTAGCACTATATTTAACCCTATAACTTCCCAAAACGCCATAAAACCTGTACATAGGGGGTACTGTTTTACACATGAGACTTTGCTGAATACAAATATGTGTATTTTATTGCAGTAAAAGCAAACAGTATTATGACATTGACCGTTAAAATGTCATGTAGAACTAAAAAAATAAAAAAGAATCTTATTTTCTCCCATTTTTTTCATATTAAATTATGTTTCATAGCTAAATATTTGATATTAAATGAAAGCCCTGTTTCCCCTGAATAAAATGATATATAATAAGGGTGGGTATATTTAATATGAAAGAGGTGAATTACGGTTGGACAGACATGTAGCTCAAATGCCAGGTTTTGTTTACATTTTGTTTTGTTCACAACGTGTACATTTGGCTCCATCCGTAAGGGGTTTATTTAGTATATTTATGTCTGTAATTGTAGGGTTGTTTTTAAATTTATGTTTGTAAATGTTTAATGATTTTTCATTGTAAGCAAAACATGTCAGGAAATAGAAGGGCTCGACAAATCCTAAGACTAGACTAGGAATTTTGTCCTGGCGGCTGGCCGAAGGAGCATGGAGCAGTAATCTTCCTGTAGTGCTTGCTCTGTTTCTTCCCATGCTGGTTAGTGATGCCTGCATCTGGAACATGACGTCACTCCGGCCACCGCATCACTATACCGCACGCAATGGAGCAGAGCAGGAAGGGCAGGAAGAATAGAGAGCAGCCACACCGCATACTAGCGAAATAATTCACTCCAGCTCTCACAAAAATGTGTGTGTGTGTGTGTGTGTTTAGGTTACCGCCACCCGATCTCATGGGACAGGTATTTTTAATCAACTTTTTTCCAACACTGTGCTGGTCTCACCATGGTTGGCCTTGCCTCTATGGCTGAGTTAATCAATCTTGATGATTTCAGCCAAGCCAATGCTTTCTCGTAAGAACGAATTGGAAGTCTATTGTAAATGTCCTGCAAAACGTTGCACTGCAACAATCTACTCGTAAAGATGCACACTGTGCAGCATTGAACTAGGAATCACCTCTACTGACCATCTCAGTGACTGTCACTAGAGGTGTTATTAGGCAGCAATGTAAACACTGCCTTTTCTCTGAAAATGCAGTGTTTACATTTGAAGCCCTGCATGGGCAGGCTTTAAGCACCAGAATATTAAGCTATAGTGATTCTGGTGACTATAGTGTCTCTTTAAAAATAGTTGTTTTTTTGGAAACCCTGGCTCCTAGATC